TCTAGACTACTCCTGACCTTCAGTCCCTATTCTTGTATAAGTAGAATACCTAAACTACTCAAGGATTTTAGACATCAGACAAAAACAGGGAATCAAATTGCTCCAAAGTATAATCTGTCTGCAAGAAAGTAATGAAATGCTACAAAGACCAGATAGACAACTTCTAGTAAACTGCATCACTCACCATCCAGATGGGGTCAAGGCAATTTTCATCAATCTTCTGTGATGGTACTCTTGAAGCATGCAAAGTTTGTGGGCTGGTTCATCTGCCAGCTTAGTTTACTTAGAAGCATCAGTTAGATCCTGAACCACAGGAACTGGAAAAATTGGAGAGGAGGAGGAAGGTCTGACATATAATCTAGGAGTAAAGTATGTATCTGATATTTTCCAGGCACATATATTTCTAGACACCAAACTGGCTAAGAGGTAGCTGTGCTGGTGCTGTAACTTTTCTGTTACATACATACATGCATAGAATTCACAAAGTTTAATGAATAGAGCAAAGCTACAGTCATAGGACAGTCTATGTCTTGAAGAATTTTATTTCATTGGCAAAAGTGGTTAATTCAAAGCTCTTAGCATGCACATCCATGCTGAAGGAGCGATCAAGAAAGGGCAGCAAAAGGGAAAATATGATAGGCATTACAAACCAAAATTGTTCTATAGCCCAAATCCAGCAATGATGTGACAGGTTTAAGGATTAAGCTAAAAGGCTCCTCTTTTGGAAGCGGCATCACACATATGCTCTGTGTAAAAGCTCTGAAGGCTGATAGTTACCAAAGTTTACTAGTCAAACATGGACCGGCCAGTGTATTTCTAAAGATACAGTAACTTTTCAGCTGAAATTCTAGCTTAAACATTTTAAAAGTATGTTTTCATTTTGATAAGCCATAATTAGGCTATTTGACTACAGTAGCTTAATAACTTTAGATCCTCCTCTACAAAAACTCTCATAACTTAAAAGTGGTTTTGTATTTCCTTTAATGTCAGATTTCAGCTTCTTAAACTGCCTAACCAGTTATTAATCAATTGAGTTCTTGTTCCTCAGGTAGCCTGGCCGTGCTGAAATTAGAATTGAGAGTCATAGGATAATTAAGGCTGGCACAGATTTTGGGAGGTTTGCAGCCCAGTATGTTACTTTATACAGCCATAATCAGATTGCTCAGGGCTTTATTCTGCCTTCTCTTGAAAACCCTGAAGCATGGAGATGACACTGTGAGATCCTGGATCCAAATCTCACTGAATTATTGATATGGATCAGAACCAACTCACTGTGAGTGTAGGGGGGGAAGGGCTTGGGGAGGAAGGACTGGGCCTAGACCTGCAGGTACATGTCGTGATGTTCTCCAAACTGTGTTATACTGGAGGTCAGATGAGAATAATGATATAATCCCCTGTGGCCTTAAATATCTGTGTATTTTTCCCAGTGACTCTTACAACAGAAAAAAAAAAACATTTCACTTGGTAGAAAATCCAAACAAGACAGAATTAGTTAAGAAAGCTGCTTGCTTTCTTAACTCCATTTTTACACTGTCCAAAGTCATACAATGAAAGTTGACAATCACAGTTCAAAAGAACCTGCATGTGTCCTAAGGATCTACTGCTTTCAACTCCAAAATATTTCTTCAGACTGTTTACCAAAAAGCACAGAGGAAAAAAGTAGAGGGTGATAAGAAAAGGTACTTTGGAGGCTATAGAATATTTAGGTTGTCTATATGAGCCTGAGAAATATATGCCTTGAATTATGAGACTACTAGGTGCCTGGAAGAGCAATTAGTATTTACTGAAGAAAGAGTTTACCCTAAAGCCAAATTAACCTCAAGCACACTACAAAAATGCATGTTCTGGACTAATACGGATAGCTTCACCAGAGTGACCTGAGCAGGCATACAGACTCTCCTCTGTTCTGTTCCCACACACTGAGGGCTGAGACAGGTCTGTATGGGGTTATTACAGGCAGAACCTGTTTCCAGAGTTGTCAGTCCCTTATGTGCCTTAAATCCATGTAAAATGGACAACAGAAACTGAGGATAACGGAAATGTCTGCAATCTTCTACAGACTGTTGGGCCATTTCAGAAGGACAGTCTTTAAAGTTTTGCTATACAAAGAACAGCAAAGAATATATTTGCTACACAAAGAATCAAACACAAATTGATAAACAAAGAATCCTGATACTCAGCACCTGTTTTTGTCACCTGCACACAATTCTTGACAGTTCTTCTGTTGCCATATGTGGGCTCCTTATTTCCTGCCAGCCAGTTCAGTATTAGTAGGAGAGTGGCTGTGAGAGGAGGCTCTTTACCAGAAAACGAATAGACCAGAATGACTGGAGGAAGAGAGGAAATAACACCAGACAACAGGACGTACAGAGATTGGGAAGAGGCCAGAGGCTATTGTGCCAGTGTAGGCACTGACTGGGTTAACACAACATCTATAACAATTTATAACTCAACTGCACCTATCGTCATTTTTTTATAACACAGTGGAACAACACCACAACAAAAAAGAAGCTCCCACCATACCTGGCCATCCCTATTCCGAAATTATTTTCATTGAAACGAGCTTCTCAGCGAGAACTGTTCTTAATCACAGTTCTTGAAATCTCTTTTTAGATAGTTTGCATGGGATATGTCAAATGAGAGAGGAAAAATTTAATAGGATTAAGCAGAGAAAGGTGTGTTCAGGGTTTCTCTAATTAGCTCTTATTAATCAGTCTGAATCTCTTCACCAAACTCATTTGCCAGTGGAGAAGTCAGCCCAAATACCATTCACTAGACACACATTTTTTCCAGAACAATTATCTGCAGACTAGAAAGATTCAAATTCATCTCTTTAAGTCAAAGCCACTCAATGTTTTAAAACTGTTGCACTATTAGTAAGGACATATATAAGCCTATTTTGTTTTCTGAGTATATCAGCTTTCAGGATCTCCTTCAGCTGCTTTAAGGAATGGACAACCACAATTTTCAATGACAAGAGAGGTTTGCATTAGTACTGTGCCTCTGAACTCTATGGTGTATCTAACCAGAGGCTGCCGCAGAACATGTAGGAACAAACAGTACCCAACACAACAACAAAAGTTCTCTCTCTAATCAACTGTGAAATACAAAGCGTGTAACAACATACATGCTGAGTGACTTATTGCCTTTAATAGTGTTATAAACAGTACTCAGATAGGCAGGCAGTCCATCGACTGTTTTGAATGCCTAACTAGGGACTTGCTGACAGAAGAGGTACCCAGAAGAACAAATTCAACGCAGCATATATGCCTCTAAATTGCAAGATCTAAGGCTTCTCAACAATTTTACCAACAGTTTCATATGAAAACCAGTGAATTGAAAAGATAATGAAAAGTGTGCAGTGGGCCAGTGTGGTATCTGCAACAAAGGCTCAAGAGGAGGGGAGGGGGAATACACATACAAGTGCTGCTCTATGGAATAATGCTCCAAAAGTATCTAGAAAATCTCTCTATGGGACTTCTCCAGTCATCTCGATCTGCAATATGAACAGTCCAACACTCCAAGAAGGCTTAAGCAGAGTTCTCCCCTTCCTTTGGGTCAGTTCAGAGTGAGAAAAAGATTTTTATGGACATTAAGCTTTCCTGTTTTGACTTGTATCAGAGTCAAGCCCAATTCTAGAGACCACAGGTCTCTACCCTTCTTCAGTTTCTTCAGTTTTGATTTAATTGGCAACAGCAGAAGCTGCTGGGAGGAAAAAACCTGTAGATTGAGAGTATTTACTGATTCCATTCTTAGGCTTACAGTAGGTAAGCCTTCAGGATAAAAGTTGCTCTGGAAGTATCTTACTACAAATATAATGGAGGAGCATCTAGAGCTGAAAGCCTGTGTGTTACAGATTGTTTGTTCAGTAAAACCCATCAGTATGCCTGTGTGCTACCTGCTCCCCATATCTGCTGACATACCACACTGCCTGCATATGCAAACCACAAGAAAACAGAGCAATATTGAAATACTCCAAGGTGGAAATTTGGTATAACAAAAACCTGCAGAAATATCAGTGGAAGCAAAATCACATATTTCTCTGCATCTTCAACCAACATTCAATTTCAAAAAAAAATCATTCACTTTGACGAAACATAACAAATGCTTGAGAAATCAAACTCACTTTTCACTACACAAAATACATGACATTGCTTCTTCTGAAATTCTCCTTCTTCTTCCTGTGTTGCCAAAGTCCAGATTAAAAAATATAGTTACCGCATTCTTCTACCTGTCAGTGTAGAATTGGTAGGAACTGGGAAACAAACCACAACTTTGTCTAGACAAATAGCTGTCAAGCCTGAGAATAATGTATTCTAAAGGTCAGGAATTACTGATAGACACATCATCTACCAACTAGCCGCAGGCCCTATCTGTACATACGATGCAAAATATTGGGCTGAACCAATTCAAACATATTATCTTCTTTTTTGGTATCAGCTGGGCCAAGTACTAATATACAACATCTCACATCTTACAGTAAGCTCCCAGCTTTTCCACTTGAAAGAAGTTAATTAGTACCCACTAATTTAAACTGCTAAAAATCATGTAAGTGCATTGACATCTCTAAGGTGGGCTGCGGCAGGTATCTGTCTTTTTTTTTGTATTTTGTTATTCCATGTAGCCACAGCTGAAGATTTAGTTTTGCTTTTGATCCATTGTAAATATTGTATGCATTCTGGATCTGTCTAAGTGGACAGGCAAAGTGCAAAGCCATGCAAATCTGATTAGTTTACAGAAAGGTATTAATGCAATGCTGACCACCCTCACCGATTAAAGCCAGAGGCTCACTAGAGACAAATATTCAAGACTAACAAACTCCACCCTATCTAGCAGCCACAGTTAACACTTCATACATTTCACATTATTTCTGAACCCTTCTCCTTCCCCCTCCACTGTTTAACGACTTTAAGTCCCTAAAAATGAAGGTGGGAAGAGAACATGCTTAGTACACAGAATGAAAGGCAGTTTATGCTTTAGGACATCTCCCTCGCACTTACCTACTCTCGTAGGAAATATGTCCTCATTGTTGATTTGCACCTCGATCCAGTCCATGAGAAGATTCATATATTGGGGTGCTGGCAATGCTGTGGGCTTCTTGTACTTCAGGTCATCCTGCCAGCGGTACTCGTACTTAGGGCCTCCCGACATCACTGGGCAGGTCCTCTCTGTGCAGAACTCGCAGATGGTTCCATAAATTAGGTTGATCCTATTGAAGAAGTCAACCACATGAACAGCCACCCAGTCATTTTGGTCTTCTCCACTGGGCAACTGCACAGCTGCTTTCAAGTCCAGGCCTGAGTAGAGAGATGCCTGAGCTCGTTTGTGAAGCTCAAACCTCTGGGTTCCAGGCTCAAACTTGCGTTTTGGACGGAAGGTCTTATCTTTATTAAAGACTTGCTTCAGTGCAATGGACATATCTGCTAATCTTCTCCTCTGCAGCAGTTGGCAGAAAACCACATCTGAGATTTAATGCAGGTATCTGAAAAGAGTTGCTCCCTATCACAGTTCCTCCAGGCTCTGCTCTTTTTCCCAGTGAAGCTCGCGTTAATTGGAGCAATCTAGTAGCTCTTCCTCTTGAAAGCCTCCTCAAAAGGCTTGAAGTCCCTAAGGATATAGAAACAATACACATCAGTGGTAAGTTCGAGTCTGGTCCTGTCAGTTTGTTACTGTTTTACCATAATTTTCTAGTAATTATAAGCTGAAAGTATGTAACAAGCTAGCCTTAAAAACTGGCCAAACACTAACTTGATGACAAATTAAAAGCAAAAAAAAGTGTCTAATTTTTCAAAGTATTACAGAATTAACTTCTCTGTTCTTTTTAAATATCTTCCCAAATAGAGGCTCTCAAGTTATAAAGTTGGGATTTCAATAAACATTGTATAATCTCCTGATTTTAAAACCAACCTTTTCATTTTGCTGCATTTTTACAGAGATCATATAGCATACAAAATGTGTGTATAAGTTTAGTAGACAAAACACTATGTGACAATTTAGAAGGTTTATCTAACTGCTCCTAAAGTGACCAATGGTGCCTCAAAAATTTGCCATATCTGTGGTTCTCTTCTCTGTAGGGAAACAAAATCCCCAGGCAAAACTTCTCCTTATTTGTTCTCCATTTTAAATTACTGAGCTATTTGCTTTTGCAAATGTCATAGAACCTAGTTAGAGCGAAAACTGCAGTAATGCACAGAAGTAACTCCTATTTCCCACAGATGCATGGAGATTTTTACTTTTCTTGATCCACCTTCAAAAAGTCAGTAGTGGACTCAGTTTTCTATTGTATTGTATAGAATTATTAGAAAGCAATTGTAAAGCTGACACTTTTTTTTAATAGCTCTATTCATCTTCTTTACAGGAGAATACTTGGCACAGTTGTTCTTACAAAAACAAGAACATAGACTCTGTGTTGTTCCATCTAACCTACTCTAGCAATAAAGAATGGTTTAATAGCAAGCCAGGTGGAAAAAATAAATTACTGCATTAGAGCTTTGTTTGCTCTTATACTTGAAAAAAGAGTATATCATCACTAAATGTAGGCAGTTAGTAGGTGATAGGGTAGATAGGTGCTGTCTCAGACTTTGTTTTAGTAATGAAGGTTTTATGAATAAAGACAGGGAACAAACATTTTATTCTGTGCATTATTTAAATTAAATAACATAATATTTGTTAAATTTGCACAGAAATACAAAAGTCCCACCCTATCAGAGGCTGATGAATTCTTACGAGATTTTGTACGCGCCACTGTTTCATTTAAGAGAAATCATATCCATGAAAATTTTACAAGTCTGTGTGTGCCTAGCACTAATTCTTCTGAAGACAGTTGCCCAAAGCTTTGCCGAGGGGAGAAGAAAGGAAGAGAAAAAGGTGATTCTTTTTTCTTAATCACCACGAGAAATCAACACCTTCCCAAGCAAGAAGAAATTTGGCATGCTATACCCTGTGCCCTCATAATAGGGTGTAAATGCCATAAAAAATCCTCTCCTGAACAGCTGAAAGATTAGCTTTCAGCCACTTTGTCAGCAAGTAGCAGTTACAGAAAACCAGCAGTGAAGCGCTTGTTTTAACTTCTGCTAATGGCATGATGAAGGGATACTCCAACAGTGATTTTATAAACAGTCATTCTTTCTGAGCCAGCAAAATAAAAGCAGTTGGGGAATGAACTCCAGGGAGATTACTGTCATATCTGACACACCCATTAAGTAATGTTCAAAGACAGAGATCCTGAATTATCAAATCCAGAAATTCTGAAACCCGACAAAGGTCATGGAAAGAAGACTTTTAAGAAAACTAGCCTTGGAACAGTTAAGTGTTGGCAGGAAATGCAGGTATTTTAAACAGTCAGCAGTCAACTTTGCCCTGCAGTTTGTTGTTTGTTGCTAAGATCCACAACCTCCAGCTCTCAAATACTCTGCTGCAGACAGTTGTTTACTTAAAAGCCTTTCAAAGAATAGGCGAGTACTGCTGCATAGACTGAGCTTGTGACTGACACACTTGGAGATGCCATGGAGCCATTGTCCCAGTTTGCAATAATAAGGAGGTTAACTCCAGAGTTTTACAGCTCAGGTAACTACTTGTTTTCTCATTTAAATATACCCGGTGTTCTTGTGTGGCTATTTCGACCGCCTTCCTCAACTGCAAATATTCACCAGAACATGCAAGGAGTTTTTATTTACAACAACAGGCTGAGCACCAAATAAAACTCATCTTCAAAAGAGACATTTTAAAGCATAGTACTCACTGCTGTTAAACCTTTTCCAGAAAAAAACAGAAAACATTATATTTTCTAAACCATTTTCTACTGAATATGCAAACATAATTAATCATATTAAATACATATTGTTTCCCACTACTCTCCATACATTCAGTAAGTCTGCAGAAGACTAATTACAGAAAAAAAAATGCAACCAAAACATCAAGCAAATAACTCATTATCTCAAGTCTTCTGTGTACCAGGAGTTACATGTTGAAATTGTTTGTGGAAGCACACATACGCCTCAGTCAAATTCATCTCAAACACTCATCCAAAAGATTACTGTGTAGCCAGGTGAAACTGTTCTTTAACTCATCAAGGCAGAATCAGGACAAAGAATTTCCTATACATTTCCTGTCTGGAGAGTTTTCTGTCCAGCATTTGCAATAAAAGCTAAGGGGTTTCCTCTGTCATCTTTCTACCTCGTTCCTTCTTTTTTCATCTTTCTATAACTTTACACAACACAAAAATACATTCTATCTTTACTAAGCTTGCTTGTAGAAGTCAAAGTCACTGTTTAGCTTCTCTTAGAGATATAGCTCTCTCAAAATGAGGCTGAAGGCTCTGGAATGCCAGGGGATGGATAGATTTGCTCTCTCATGCATTTTCACATGCAGGAATGCAAAATAGGAAAAGTGTATGACCTGAATTTCATAAAAATACTGCAATGAATTAGCCCTCTGAAATATCTTTTTGTATCCTGTTTCTTGATGGTATTTGCTGTCTAATTAACCCTTCTCTTCACACAAAAGCTAACAGAAATGAATGAAGAAATAAGCTAGAATTTAGGCTTTTCTGAACAAACAGCATCACCTTTACTTCCCTAGAATAAAGAAGGAGACAAATGAACAGGCCCACCTAATTTTCAGAAGAGATTAAACACAGAGACTTTAGTTTTGGATCCTTCAGAGGCTGATGCTAAGAGAAAAGCTCTAGCCAAAGTCTGTGGGCTCTTAAGAGCATCTTTACTGCTTAGGTAATAAAGTGGAGAGAGTTAATGGTAGGACGGCCACTCCCCTGCTTAGGACTGAATCACTAATCCATGGCAGGAACTCATTCACCATTAGACTTCCGACATGTTGCTGTACTATTTGAATCAACAATCAATGATGAGAGGTTTGTTATTCCATCCTAAATCATATACTGTCAATTAAAACTTTGTACTGGAGGACAAACACATGAATGAGAAATGGTTCCAGTTTCATTATCTCATTTGGTGTCTGGAGACTTACTTCAGAGTTGAAACACAGTGAACAATATTGTGGTATTGGTTAGGCTGGATCACAACTCCTTGAAATCTGTGGCACAGTAACAGCCACCCTCATTCCACATAAAATTAAATTTGACTATTGCTAACAGATACTTTGCAGTTTATTGTTATATAATATCAGCAGATATTGCTGATATTACTGTCATAATATCAGCAGAACTGCCCCTGAATACTTGTGTCAAAAGTGACAGAAACTGGCTTCTGATCTTTTATGACAGGTCCTAACTATACAATGGGGCATAAAGAATGACACTGTCACTCATGATATTTGGCTTAACGGTATACAGTGCTCTGCATGCTCTTCTGAACTAGATGCTTAATACATGACTGCCCTGATAAGGGTAGCCCACAGAGGTTAACTCCTTCTAATCATTCAGTTTCTTTTCTTTCTTTCCAGAGTAATATGCTTCTGAAAGTTTGTGACAGTCATCAACATCTTTTCCTGACAGACTATTACATACCAAAAATAATACAATTGGGTGAATTTCCCTGCTGGTAGAGCCATGAATGAGAGTTGTAACTACAGATTAGGAGATGCTCAGAACAGAGAATCAGACCTCACAAGCTCCATTCATGGCATCAGCACCACAGTGATCAATACTGTCCCCAGCCTTATGCACATACAGAAAGAGCACTTCAGTCTAAATATCAGGTATACCAACATCTTGAAATAATAAACCAGTCCTGCCCATGCAGATTCCACTGAAAAAAAGTATCCACAACAAACCACACACTGTGATCACCATCATATCGGAGTCACTGATGAGTTAAAGGCATACAATAAAATTTCTTCATATATTTTCTATTAGATAATGGGTAACAAGACTGCTAAATGACACACTGTTTACAGACACATACCTTTCATCACAGCAGTCTAGTGAGGAATACACAAGCTTTAGATATCTGCTGGGAAGGTAGCTGATATAATTCCTGTTTTATTAACCCAGAAAGTGAGGAAACTTGACTTGTCCAGCACCAAATAAAGTGAATTGTCTATCCCTCAGGACACTATGAAAACTCACTCTGCATCAGCTGATGTTCACATTTTTCTTTCCAAAATCTAAGTCGCCATTCCTTATTCTTTCAGGAGTGATGCTGGTTGAGAGGCAATTTCCTTTTCTCTAAAGCTACTGGAATTACTTTAACTAATAACCACAATAACAACATATCATCATATTTTCCATGAACACGTTAGGCAACGTTAGGTAGAACGATTGCATTTTTGTGTCCTGGTGCTTTATTTACAACAGTTTAATTTCACTTCTTTTGACAAAGTTCCTGGTTCCCTTCTATACAGACAAAAAGAAGCCACTCTTTCCTTTTACGAAAACTCGTTGTACAAAACAATTAGAAGTGACTTAAAAAGAGGTAACTTCTATGATGAAGTTGTTTGACAGCAGCAGAACGAGGTATAACTACTCAAATCTTAGATGATAAGTGCAGGTTTTTAATGCAATTTAAGCACGTTTTTTAAAACAGGGAATAACTGTGTTTTAACAGAGAAGTGACCTCTCAACCAGTATCATTCAAGTGCCTTCTACAAGTATTAAATCCATCAGAAGTTCTGTAAAAGTACACTGATCACCATGATAACACTGAAAGTACCCTGGCACTTCTTCACTAGAAGTTTATATTGTTACAGCATTCAAGGCAATCTAGTCAGGAACATGGACTTACTGTAGCATATAGTTTAAGGTGAACTGAAATAGGTATCTCTTGGAACTATAGTAAAGAAGCTGCAGGAAATACATGACTTAGAGTACACTGTAGTTCAGTCTCTGCTCCCCTGTCATCCATTTAAAGTCTTGATTCTTATAGCCTGATAGCTGATAGTCACGTAGGGGTACAGAAGATCACATTTTTTTCCCTGAAAACAGTCCAACTTTCCCTTCTCCCCTTTCATGTTCCCACCTTCTTGCGATTTCCCCTATGATACCTAGCCCAGGCACCTATATATCCCCTTGCAGGGAGCTGTATGAGACTCAGACATAAACCACAATAATTAAACAAACTCCCATTTTTTCATCCCAATCAACTTCTTTGATTCCATGTTTGGCCACATAGATCAGGGAAAAGGACAACACAAGGAAAGGTCTGTGTGGAAGGCAGAGGGTGAGACAGATGGAATAAAAAACCATGGGAGTGGTTATTCAGCCATGGCTACTTAAGTAAATTACAGTGTTTGCCATGATAATTTCAGACCTCCCCAACCTTTAAAGCAGATGGGAAACTCCCTTTAGCTCAAGCAACTACAGAAGCTGAAGTCTGACAGAGTGACAGGTCACAGCAAAGCATGGAGTTCTGACAGTCCCTTTCAATCCTTTATTACACACCCAGGTTTTTCCAGTTCTCTCCCTGGTTCACAGGCTTTTACTACTCTGAGCTGTGGCTAGCACATGTGCAAGCACAGTCACTAAACCACATTCTCTGTAAGTACACAAACAGCCTCTGCCTTCAATTATCAAACCCCTGAGACATGCTACATCCTTCCACCAACACCAAAGCAGTGTGGTGACTTGCATGTGCCTTGTCTCCTCAGATGCTGTTACAGTCATAGCTCTTGTATACACGCAGCTGACCATACTGGTGGATTGGGTGGGTCAGCTTAATGCAGCATGAATAGCAACAGAACCACCTCACTAACCCTGCCATTGCCCAAATCTCTCAGTCTTTATGGATGGAGACCTCACCACAACAGTGGATGGTTGATAGGCTTTTGCAGTATGAACATTGCAGCATTTGTTGCAACAGAGAACAGTTATCCTTCATTCCTTTAAAAACGGTATATAAAGGACAGGTGAAATTAAACTGTGGTTACTCTTCAAAAATCTCTTTGTTCTGTGCAGCTTAATTCCTAAATGTACATCCTGGCTTTTAAAAGCACTGGCACAATTGAGTAGACACTGAGAGCATTAAAATAGGATTTCTTGCTCACTCCTACACTATCAAACCTACACCATCATCCACACAATTCCCATATAAAAACCTAAAACTAAGTTCACTCACATCTGTAGGAAAATGGCAGTCAGTTCATGTGAATGGTAAGGAACAGCAAAATATACACACACAAAAATGTGCTCTTAGACCTCATGTAGGGCCTCCTGTAGAAGACAATAAAACTGGCTTATCTGCTAGAAGCCAGTAGTTTATGCCCTAGAACTTCAAGTGCCCTATTCTGCATGCAGTGGCCAAACTCAGTTTTATTTTTGGTCTAAATCTTTGCTTTAGGAAACCACATATGTGTTCTGCTTTAAGAAAAGAAGTTTAAATAATATGTTCCATCTCAGTGACATTTCAGATAAAAGCACTCATTTTCTTGTCCAATGAAAGCATGCAAAAAACCAGAGATACAGTGTCAGAGTCAAGTTACAAACACTATGCTGGCAGAAACAAATAACCAACACTCCATGAAGAAAACAGAACTTCCTGCAAGTATAGACATGGAAAACATGATGCAAAAAGGTCAGCTGACACCCATTCAGACCTCCTAAGCCTTAGTCTGGTTTCTGCCATGAAAGCTCAAGTTAATGTGGGCAGAAGGGACAGCAGAGAGGCAGGTTGGTGACACAGCCTCAGTCCCAAGAAGTTCACGGTATCAGAGGTGTTTTCCAAAGCACAGATCTGCAAGGAAACTATGACAACTTTGGTGTCCTGCACCCTTTCTGGCAAACTGATAACTCATAACATGCGCATGATGATTTTCAGATGCAAAGAATTACCCTTAGCTCCCTGTTTCTGAGAAACAAAATTTGCCTAAAATCATGTGGGAATCAGTGCAGGATTCCTGCGAGGAACTCAGAAGTGATAATATAATTGTGAATATCTTCCAATTATTTATACCATAAATCTAAAACCTTGTCCTGAAATCTAAAACCCTGCCCTGAAATAGAGCTCCAGCAGATATAGCACCCAATCCACTAACCTTAAAACACAGCTCTGCATGAGTATCAGAAAAGCTAAGTGAATGAAATAACAGAAGAAATCTGTTTCCCATGGTTTGGAGCAAAGTACTCAGTATAGCAGGTAGGAAGAATGGCAGCAACTACAGTTGATTACTGACATTTTCAAACATACCAAGGAGACAAAGTCAAGGTATTTGTACATGTCTTTTGAAGAATGCAAAATATTTCACAGGTCTGAGAGATGATGGTTTTGTAGCTCAAGGGCCTGGTTGTAGCCTGCAACTTGGCAAGTGATATGATGCTTCAGCAGCATGCAATCACATGGTATAGTCTCTGTAAGTGATGGTGGGATCATACGTGTCTAGTTGTGGGATCTGTGCTTGCAAAACTCAAAGAAATAAATCATCCACAGTGTTGATTTGTATGTTCGTCTTAACTCACAGGTCTAAACTGACTTGATTGCTGAAGAGATTTTTCTGTGGAGAACAATTCTGATCACCACCCTGCAACTTGTTCAACCTTACCATTTGGCCAAGAAGACCCACTCCTATACACAGGGGGAAAACCACAGAATCTGCCAAATAGAAATAGAGTACCTGGGACAGGACAGTCATCCACTCTCCAGAGCTCTAAATCAGCAGTCTTGCAGGACTCACTTGGAGGAAAAAAATTGTTTTCTTTGCCAACTGTGATACCTGAAATATGAAAGCAAGTAAAGGAAGTCAGAAACATGATATATCAAACAATTAATATTGGAAAGGTCACTTGAGAGTAGTAACTACCTCCTCCTAGGACTGCCAGCCTCCTCTCCAATTCACTATACAACTGTTGCTGTAAGGATTGTTCACCTGGAGAGAGTTTAGGACAGAAAAAAAATGTGCTGCCCTTTAATGCAGTTTAGCAGACAGTAACTGACCAGAACCGTATTGACTGGATAGCTCTGCACAGACCACAAAGTACCAGCACTAGAGGACAAATGCAGTAGCAGTATGTTCTAGGCAAAAACTGTGGAACTGCCTTCTTCCCTCTATGCACTGGAAAGTAACCAGTTTAGGACTCTGCTTTTCTAAAGTACTAAACTACTTTTAAAGCCTCTGCATACTGCTTGACCTGTATTGTACTTCAGAAAGCATTTAACACAGAAAATAAAACTCATTACAAACTGATCTGGAAGTAGGGTTTGGGTGTGTTTTTTCTTGAAAAATTGTCCATGTGGTAAGCACTTTACAGGCAGAAGAACAGTGTAGTGTTTGATCACTCTTTACAGTTTGTGGTCAGAGCAACTCTCATACAGCACTAACTAAGCTTCTAACTATGCACACAAAAGATTTACTATGACAGAACTATAGGACTAAGCACTTAAAAGGTATGAAAAGAGGAAAACTTCCTTCAGTGTAAGTTAAGAATCTCACTTCTCAAACCAGGTTGCCCACAGCTGTGGCTAGTACATACCCAAGACTACAGGAAAAAAAAAAAAAGGAACAAAAATCATTATCCATACAACATACTTAAGTAACCAGCAGGGAGGGTTAAGATGGGTTCTCTCCCTTACAACTACAGCAAGCAGTTTACCCTGAAGCAAAATGAATGAGCACTTCTTGTACTTGTGCAGCCACAGCTGCCAGCACACAGGGAAAGCACAGCTGGCAATCTCTTGAAGGTCCATTTGAAGGACTCTGCTTTGTACTACAGGGTTCCCACAGCCTGGCACTGCTCAGTTTAGCTTTAACCAAGAGCCAATTGCTGATTTTTATCAAAAATCGACTGTGTAGCTGGCACAGTTTGAATGTGGGAGTTGTCAGGTGGCTAAGTTTCCTCCTACAGAACTACTTTATGCAGCATGTTTTCCACACCACATCCCCAACAATTTCTGACTAAGAAGAAAGAAAACCTAATAGCTTCTTGTTTCTACTCTTACATTTTTTGTGTGTATCACATGTTGTGACTCAACAGGAAGGTCTTCATCTATCTCAGGCCCCAAACAGAGCAACACCATTAAAAACTTTTATTTGGTGGAATAATTAAAATGTTAGTAGGGAGGTTCTGTGATGATGTTTCCTCATGAATCCTTGAAACCTTAAGGTCATTTTACACCGTTCCTCATCCCATGGCTTGGAAACTGCTAAAAGGCAGTCCCAAATCTTGACACTTTTTAACTAAGCGTAGATGCTGGGGAGCATACCTTGCAGGACAGACTGTCTTATCAAAGACACATATAAAGTAACAGGTGGTTACAATGATTACAGCAGTGGAGGGATTCACAGAACCGCCAGTATACCACTAAACACATACATATCACCTGTATACCAGAAAGATTCCTATTCCCTCAAAGTAATATTGCACAAGACTCACGTACTTATATGACACTTAAGGCATCGGAAGCAGAGGTTGGTTCAGAGTAATTGTAGCAAACAAACAAACAAAAAAATCAAAAAACACACCACCAAACCCAACAACAACAAACCACAAAGCAATGAAAAAAAAACAGGAAAAAAACCCCCAATAACCACAAAAAACCCAGCACAAGACTCACCCCCAAGAAAGAAAAAAACCCCCAAACAAAATCAAAAACAAACAACAAAAATCAAAAACAACAAAAAACCAAAACAAAAAAACCCAACAACAACAATCAAAACCAACAACAACAAAAAACCAAAACCAAAAAAAAAAACAACAACAACAAGAAAAAAGAAACACACAAAAACAGATCACTGAAGAGAGAAAACAAGCAAGTAGGAAAGCCAGCAAAATAGTGGAGAAATCATTGGGATAAAACAGCCCTGTATTATCTGCCCTACCTGCACTTAATCTGAGTCTTCTATCTTATTTTTTAATAGGTCACCCCCCAATTTGAGAATCTGAATACTTGGCACTTTACTATGCATTAATATTCTGCTGCTGAAACACTGTCTTAAAAGAAAATCCAGGAAGGCTTTAAGATACAATTGGAGAACCTTGTCCAAATCATAACTCATACATTCAAGTTAATTGTATGCAACAACAAAAAATATCCTCCCAAAACATCTGTTATTGCTTATTCTTAGAAGATGAGGTTAGAGTACCTGAGGTTTATACCCTACCACAACCTTCCCCTCGCTTCTGTACAGTCTTCCAAATGGGAAGCACTTGGATCAGCACCAGGTTTTTCACCCATTCATCCAGACCATGGCCTAGATGCCATGCCAGGTCTCACATCATAACAGAAACAAGAGTATATGTTATATTGTTGAATGTCTCCATGCCCAGGTTCTGTATCTCTTTCCCTCTCCTACTTCCTGCCAGAAACACACAAAAAATAATGATGTTGAGATATTTTTTCCACTACATATTTAGCAGTTCTATAACATAGCTTTATTATATTTATTCTAACATTCCATTTTATCCATTAGAATTTGATAGAATTTAACAATACTAAGAATGGTGATTAAACTCACAAAATTTTAGCACTTATAATTTATTCCTAATTTGGTAGTAAGCTAAAACAGCTTTAGACCTACTGCCCTTTACGATGCTTTCATCGTTTTGATTGCTTCATATATAAGTGGTTAGGAAATTGCATTGCTACCTTGCTATTCTTTATCCCATTTCAATTACATCTTTTGCCACTCAATGCTTTCCATATTTTTATGTTTTTGATCCAGTCCCAAATTATTTAAGTATACCCAGCTGTTTCACATACTGTACCTGCTATCAGAGAGGCAGATGCCATCAGAATATTTGAGGCAGCAATCACCACAGAATTGAAGAGCACTCCCAAATAAAACATCTGTTCTCTGAACAACCAGGTGACAGACTGAAAAGACTGAATCCCTATCCTAACACAGCAGGGACTGAAGTCCAAATTTGCTCTAGAAAAATAAATGAGAACCCAAGACAGCAAGCCAAACATCCAAGCTTCTAAGCAAGCAGCTATTTGAGGAAGCCACTAACTTGAAATTCAGTACTCTGAAGACTTGAAACTTCATCTAGAGATATTTCTTTAGGAGTGACCAGCAATATCTAGGGAGTACCAAGGTGAAAAACATTGGAGGTGTATCTGCAGATGTCATGATTACAGTCAATGGGATGGTAATTAATAGACATTTCTCCCTTCATATGCTACAGACTTACATCTCAGTGATGCTGTAAGATCAGACAAAGATTCCAAAACTCTTCCCTCTTTTGTTCTTTCTCTATGAGTAATTTATATCCCTTCTATTCCTGTCTTCCTTTCAAAACACCCTCTTCATTTACCTTGCACTTTTTTTCTTTTCTCCTTTTCTTCACTCATCCAGAAACTGCATCAGGCTTTGGTTTAACTGTCAGCTAAACACCAGTTCAGAAGGCTGACAGTAGGCACTAAAGCAAAGGCTGCTGGCTACACCCCATTTTGTCTCTATTGATTCTCATAGTTTCAACCATGGAAAACAATCAGGCAAACATACAAAGAGAGTGTAAACCACCTACATTTGCTGTCCTTTATATCACCATGTTCAGATGGGTACAGTTATTAAATTACTGCATGTGTGTGGGAGTACATGCAATTAGAGGATTATTTTGCGGACTTCCTGTTTTAAGAACAGGACAACATATTACAAGTTATAAAGCCTGTAAGACTGGAACCTATCATGCAATTCTTCAGCTGCTTACTCTAAAATAAAAGGACATTAGCTCCATTTAGGTCAGAGCCAGATTGATGTGGCACACAGGGGACTTTAAGATAAACCCCACTACTTACTCTGTGATTCATTATTTAATACACCTGATTAAACTGGCATGAAAAGTGTGATAAGTGATATATAAATTTATATAAATTTAAGTGATATACAAATTTAGAGAACATGGTCACTATATAGGAACATGATAAAATATAGGAGAAACTTCAAATTCTGAATACAGCAGTTATAATTACAATGGAATAATCTACTACTGTCAGAAAATCAGGATTTTCCAAATTCTGCTAAGCATCATCGTTTCTCTGTTTCTTTCAGCTCCAGCTTCTTTGTTGTAAAATGAATATGGACACTGGTACGATATTTTCCGCTAATTGCTAAAAGAAAAAAACAAAAGTCAAACCAACAGATAAAGTTTGTAATGCCCTAAATATGTAAAAATAAAGATCTAACTTGCAATGCAAGCATACATTCAGATTCAAATATATCTGTTCAATCACTGTATCGAACAAAACCAGTTAAATTAAGCTTGCAACAGTAAAAGGGTCATGTCAATACATTTCAACAAACAGATGACTTTCAGAAATCCATCTAAATTTCTGAACGGGTTAACTGAGATTCACTTTACTATAAACATAATGCTAAATCTTGTGAATACAATAAAAACGTAAGGGTGCTTCCAAAACGGTGTAGGCCCCATGCAAACTGCACTATTCCAGTGTAATTTCATGATGCACATTACATCTACAGAGAGTTATGTAGATGCAGTATGTAGCTGTTCTGGCCTACAGATATACAACAGGTTCCCTTCACATCTTACAGATTTCATTCAAAGCTTGTGTCTTTGACGTAATCACCAATTTTTCAGGAGACACACCCGTGGAGGCAGAATATAACCCTTAATTTCTAATACACAGGTACCCATTCAAAATTCCTTGAGCCTAATGACCTAATACCCTGCAAAACTCCACAGAACAGATGCTACCTGTGGCAGGTTGGAGACATAAAACTTAATTGTTGACAGTAGTCTTTCAATACACTGA